TCATGCATGTGTTTCTAATGCATTTATAAGAGTATCTCTTTGTTGCTTTGTATGTCCCTCCCCCACAGTATAATCCCTGCTTTCACTATATTTGATGTCAGTATAACTTATGGAGGAGATGGGGAAAAACCAGTTGTTTAAGGATACAGGTGGACCTGTTGCAACAATGAGAAGTACAAGTTGTCATGTCCAAAACGAGCTTTACAACGTCGGGGGGGAGGGGATGGTAGGGGGGGAAGGAGAAGGATTGGGATTGGGGGGGAGGGGGGAGGCTGGAAAGGGAGATGAAGGGTAAGCAAAGGAGGAGGCTGCAATGCTTGATAAGAAATGTACGCATTATCCTGCCCATGTAATTGTAACCCCTCTGTACAGTATGTTCACAAATAAAATAAAATAAAATTTTAAAGAAAAATAAATAAATAAAAGTAGGTAAAATATTCTGCGACCATTTTTTTACAGAAAATACATGACTCTGCATGAAGCCCATGAAATAGTATTTGGGATTTTTAGTCATTGGAGTAACTCAAATCAAACCATAATGAAGTATTCTTAGATGATGAGTAATGATGACTGTCAGAGAAAGATTGCATATGTGACACTCTACCTTGAAGTTTATATTGCATAGTGATGTCATAGTTATCTTCATTTATGGAGTAACCATTGTGATAGCAGCACAATGATTAATTCACCTAATAAGGAATTTCTTAAAGTGTATTGTTAACTGTCAAATCACAGTGCTTCACACCTGGGAATGGTAAAAAAAATAATAATAAGCATTTCAAATGTGCTCATATATCACCTGAGGAAAATGTCATAGCTTATGGTGACAATCTTGATTCTCAGAAAACTAAACAAAAAAATTCTCCAAAATAAATTATCATATGACCCAGAAATTTCATATCAAAATTTAGACACAGGAATTAAAATCTAGAATATACTGGTTGCTTATCACCATCCACTGAAGAGGTTGGGATCAGAAGATTATGGTTGGAAGCCAGCCCAAGCAGAAGAATCAGAGAGACTCCATCATAAATTGATCACCAAAATATTGGGCGTACTGTGCACTCCATCTGGGTGGCTAAAGGGTAGAGCACCAGTGGTAAGCAAGAAAGCTGAGAAAAAATGCCTAGCACTGAGTTCAAGTTCTGGTACCACCATTAAAAATAATAACAATCAGATATCTACATGTGATGATTTACTGTAGTACTATTTAGAGTAACCATTCAAAATGAATGAGTAATACAGACATGGTATTCAGACAAACTTACCTTATATGCAAAGGAATACTATTCAGCTATAATAGTTCAATGAAATAATAAATACTACAACATCATAAGGTATGATAAATATTTATAATCCCCATCTGCATGAAATATCTGAATTGGGTGATTACAAAGAGTAAAAGTTGATTAGAATAGAATAGAAAGTTATATTATGGCTACTAAAAAGAAAGTTTATGCTGAGGAGATACTTTATGTTTTTATATTTTAAGATGAATATATCAAAACAATGCAAAGATAATAAGCATCTTTCATCTGTCTACTTTTAGACCTTCCACAATAAAAAAATACTTTTTGAGGAATTTAAGCAGATTACTTCCCTTCACTTGCAAATTTAATAAAATACCCCTGTGATAAAGCAGTTGGTTTGTGACATTTACTTTCATGTTGGTTTTACATTTACATTTTAGGTTATTGTGTATCTTTGATACATACACATAACACACAAAGAAATATTAATTATTGAATTTGTAAATGTCAATATTAACTTATTTTGGATATAAAAAGGAAAATAAAGAATGTTGAATAAATTTTAAAATGAGTTAAATAGAATGAAAGAATGACCTAAATTCACAAAATAGTTTGAAAATCACAAATCTAAAATAGCCCATAAGGCATTTCATATGAATGTGTACTATTTTATGACATAACGTAATAAAAATATTCACATAACTTAATCTGAGGTTTAATTTAAATATAAATAAATAGTAAGCTTATTTTATCTTTCTTTCCACATTTAAGTTACTGCTTTCAACTCTCAACATTATCAGCCACCTGGAATTGTAGAAAATATTATGGATATTTAAAATAATTGTAAATTTATAAAGTAAGCATTAAAATTTCCAACCCAACCCACACTCACAGTTGTAAAAATACTCAAAGCACTGTCAATTGGATTTCGTGTGTGTTTCATTTGCTTTATAATGCACTCTGGGTAAGATATTGCAAAAGTTAAAGTGTAAGATACTTGAAATTAGTAATTTTGGTTGGTAAACTAATCCCAACTACCCAGGAATTTAGAATAGATACACAGGAATGACTTATCCTATGACAATTCATTTTAGGATTTGTAGGCACACTGAGTGAAGATTCCATTTTTCAGCTAGAATTACCTACTTGCTCCCATATTTTTCCTTTTTTATATATAGTTTGTATTTTAATTTTATTTTTTTCATTTGTTTTCTGTTTATGTAGTACTGAGGAATCAAATCTAGTACATGGTAGGTAAGCACTCTATCACAAAGCCACATTCCTAGTCCCCATACTTTTCCTTTATGAGTGATTATTAATCTCATTTAGTTTGAGGCATACATCTGAATTCTCTTAAATATCCTTTAATAAAAATATATAGTATGAAAAAAAGAAATGTACTTATTATCTTGCCCATGTAATTGTAACCCCTCTGTATGGTATTTTCACAATAAAAATAAAATAAAAAATAAAGCAAAAACAAAAACAAATATATATATATATATAGTATGAGATTTGGGAATTTGTTATTTCTTACCTCGAAGATCATATACTGTTTTTTTCTTTTGTACTCTTAAACAATATAAAAAATAAATTGTGTCCATGATGAGCACCAATCAATGTTTGATTGGGTGCGTAAGAAAATACAGGTTTTCGATTTCATTATACGAGTGATAAGGTGAGAATTTAAACGATTATATTTAATTTTAGTTTTAAACGCAACAAAAGTTCTATTTTATGAAAACAGCAAATAGCCTAACAGAACGAAGCCTGATATGGATACGAATACCGAGGAGGTACCAGCACCAAGACAGCATGAAATTTTTCTCAGGCCATCATAGACTAGTCAAGAAATTGAAAAATGGTTAAATTGCCAGTTTAACAAACCAGCTGTAAAATCGCAACTCCGTCTGTTTCTTGTATTTCACCAGAGAGTTGTGTGTGCCAGAGGGACAGGTATAGGTAGGTGTTAACTACTGTGGCAGCTCCTGGCACAACCTCTAGCACCTCTCTTGTGGTTGACATTTTGCAGACTCTTATTCCATACCTAGGAACCTGGGTATTTCTGACAGTCCAAAAAATGTGGAATGGTTAGAGAATATTGTTAAAACTTTTTGTTTCTTTTTTTGTAGGTCATGGGGCTCGAACTCAGTGCTTGGGCACTGTCCCTAAGCTTTTTTGTACAAGGACAGAGTTCTACCACTTTGAGCCACAGTGCCACTTCTGATTTCTTGGTGATTAATTAGAGATAAGTGTCACAGACTTTCCTGCTTGGGCTGGCATCTCTGACCCGTGATCCTCAGATCTCAGCCTCCTGACTAGCTAAACTTACAGGGGAAGCCACCAGCTCCCGGCTTGTTAAAAATTTTTTAAAGAAAAAATATCCTACTTTTTTCAGTTTGAACTTAAAATACAATAACTGCTAGGTGCCAGTGGCTCAAGCCTGTAATCCTAGATACTCAGGAAGCTGAGATCTGAGGATCGTTTTCAAAGCCAGCCCAGACAGCAAAGTCCCTGAGACTCTGTCCCCAAATAGACACCAAAAATAAGCCATACGTGGAGCTGTGGCTCAAGAGTTAGAGAACTAGCCTTGAGTACAAAAGCTTAGGGACAGCAAACAGGCCCTGAGTTCAAACCCCAGTTCTAGCACACGCACATGCACACACAAACACACACACACAAACTTACTGGTTTTAATAATAGCTATCAGTGCTGTCACAGAATAGAAATCTTCAAGGTTTTAGACAACTTGCATTCAATTAGTAAAAAACAATGTTGTTTATAAAACTTATTTTATGCCAAATCCCACGTTGCATTTTCAAATTTAATTCTATAGCTTATGAAAATTTGGAAGATAACTGTGGGTAAACTAGACACATAAATATAGATCATCATATATGTTTCAAAGATTGTAACCTCAGGATTCTGTGTAAAAATAAATATACTAATAATTATTATCTACTAAAGATATCTCAAGTCTATATTTACATTAGAGTCATTGCAGTTCTTTGTTCTTATTTATCTTGATAATGTACAAAATTGGTAAATGAAAACTTAGAATGACATATAGGCCCAGGAATTATTAAAGTCTTTTTGCCTGACCTTTCTAGTAAAGCAGTGAGTCCATTTGGGTTAACTACAATTGAATTGTTTTGCTTATTTCATAAAGTTCTGTAGAAGAAAACCCTCCTCATTTTCTGACATGTTTCTTTTTTGTTTTGGTTTTTAATGGCTCTAATCTTTGTTCCCATGGAAATGAGTACACCCAACCACAAAAGAAACTAATCTATTATTATAAAGCAATTTCCAAATCCTTAAGGGTTTTGCACTACTCAATATGCTATGTCCTTCAATAATTACTGCATCTTTCACTCTTGATGCGACAAGTACATCCACAAATAAGGCACTGTGCAATTTCTCTCATAGTAAAACATTTATTTGTTAAAGTGATATAGTATTCAAGATTCTACAGTCTGTTAAATCATGGATGGTAATGTAAGATGGATTGATACAGAACTTGATGCCGATGTAGGTTATTTTTTTTTCTCTTTCTTTCTTAAAAAAAATATTGTAGGCCAGAAGAAAAAAAAAATCTGTGTTGATAAGGAATGAAGCATGGTGTGATGGGAGCCGGTGCCACCAGCATCAGAGACTGCCGACCCAGCTCCTGTGGACAGTTTCTTCCTCGACACCAGTTCAACAACTCGCCTTGTGAACTGAAACATTTTTAAATTTTATCCAGTAAAAATATCAGTGGCAACTGTTTTCAGGAGAGAGAGAAGTGGTGCTCTTCAGATTAACTCCAGCCTCTGGAATGAAAGGAGGGTGCGGGGAAGGAAAGAAAACACATAGCAAATAAGATAATGTGTTGGTAATTGTAAAGCTACTGAACTAAGCAGACGATTTGTTGTCATAAAAGATAGAACCGACATCTGTATTGTAAATATTTACATTTAATTGACATGTAAAATATTACTTGAAAATTGAGCATGGAAAGAGTTTTCCTTTAAGAAGGAATTTTTGTGTAGGGAGATTAAATGATCAATGTTGAGTCAGTCAAATTGTGGGATGTCCTCAAATCTGATGATAAAAATGATCATTTCACTTATTAATGCTGGCATATAAGTTTTAACATACAATCATACTGGTGTTTTAAAATATGAAAGCATTAAATCAACTGTGTTTCATGCAGCACTCAAGAAATAAATGATCTCAACATTTTAATATCTACTGAGAATTCGGTATCATCTGAAACATTTCATAAAATTTAATTATACATTTAATGATAGTGGAAACATGTTCATCTTCCATAACTAGTTCTTCATCCACAGACCAGATTAATGTGAATGCCAACAATTCACAAGCAAAGACAAATCACAGCTAATTTAATGATGATTCTGAATATTTTATAAGATATTTAAATATCAAACTGTGAAAGTATTTTCCTTTTAATATGGACTAACTGTATTCATGGATTTAAGCTATACCTATAAATTATATCCTTGAAAAGAAGAAAAATAACATTAGACAACTATGTTTTCAGATAACTACAATAGATACAAATTTTCTCCTTTCCATACAAAATACACCACAAGGTCCTATATATTGCTTCAAAAATATATGGAACAAGTAGATCATGAAAAACAGATTTTATTTATTTATTTATTTATTATTTATTTATTTAACTCAGAGCCCAGGCACGATCCCTTAGGTTTGTTGCTCAAGGCTGGCACTCTACCACTTGAGCTGCAACTCTACTTCTAGATCTTTGGTGCTTAATTGGAGACAAGAATCTCATGCATTTTTCTACCTGGGTTGACTTTGAACCATGATTTCCAGACTTCACCACTTGAGTAGCTAGGATTACGGGCATGAGCCATCTGACATCTGGCTGAAAAGTAGATTTTTTAATTTATTGCATAATTTATATCAAAATATATAGCAAATATTGGGATTGTACATAACAAAGTTATAATGATATGTTAAAATATTTGACATTTTGCACAATAATGAAAATAACAACCTATATCAATAATATAAGAAAATATTTGATAATTCTAAAGAACCTTATTTTTTTCAAAAAAGGCTTATTTCATTAGTGTTAAGATGTTTGGATAAATTTAAAAGACTAATACATCCTATGGAAAAGAGGGAGAAGAAAGAGGAAAAGAAGGAGGAGGAGGAAGAGGAGGAGGAGAGGAAGGAGGAGAAGAAAGCAAAGAGGAAGGTGAAGAGGAAGGAAAAGGAGAAGGAAAAAGGGAAGGACAAGGGGAAGAAGAAGAGGAGGAGGAATTAGCAACATGAAATTAGAAATTTTACTAAATTTGCTTTTATTGGTTTCATGGCATACCTCATGTTAGAGAATACTTATATTTTTATATTTTCATTAATATACTTTTTATATAAAAGAAGTGATTCAAGCTAGTGAAAATTGTAATTAAGTTTTCAATAGGTCTAGAAGTAAAAACAAAGAAAATGGAGAAGCTTGGTATTAGTGGCTCATGACTGTAGTTCTAGATACTTAGCTACTAGCTACTCATGTTTTGATATCTAAAGACCCTCACAGTAGAAGATTCTTATCTCCAGTCACCCAGAAAAATGCTGCAAGTGGAAATGTGGCTTTAGTGGCAGAACACTGGCCTAGAGTAAAATACCCAAGCAAAAGGGTTAAGCCCTGAGTTCAAGTCTCAATACCAACACAAAAAGAAGGAAAATCATTAGACAGTATGTTGAAAATGAACTGTACAACTTGGAGGGGAGGAATGAGGGAATCAGATGAAAACCTGGGAGAAAACAAAGGAAGAGGTGAAATTGTTCAAAAAGAAATTTACCTGACTTACGTAACTGGAACCCCTCTGCATATCACCTTTACAATAACAAATAAAATGAAAAGAAAAATGACAATGGACAATACAACTAGCTTGACTTTGCAAGTTATAGATTTTTCAAGATAACAAACTCCAAAGTCAAATTGATAGTTTTGTAAGCTTACATGTTCTTCAGTTTCATCCAATTTCACATTACATTAAAACATTATTAACAAAATATAGATAATTACAAATGAGGGATTAATCAGGAGGAGAAGGGGAAGGGGACAAGGGAAAAAAAGATAAAGGGTTAATAATCTTTAAATATATTTCAATTGTAGGTGAAAACTTTATAAGGATAAACATTGGAGTTAAAGTGAAGAAGAAAGAGAAAGAGGTTCAGTGGTGTATTCACAAGGAATTAGGTTAGCAAAGACAACTGATATTGTTGAAATAGCTTGTCCCAAAATGAAAAGAGAGCATTGAAACTTCTTGAAATCGCATAAAGTTGTCAGAAGATAAAGATAAATTTATTAAAGGTAAGAGACTGACTGGAATAAAATATCTATATGCCTGGAAATGTCAAAATGAATCCCTCCTATTATAGCTAATGTATACTTATAAGCCAATAAAATTTAAAGGTGTGAATTTATAGTTTATGTAAGAGCTGTTGATGCTAAGGTTTAGCAAACAGAAAAAATACTAGGAGATTAATTAATTAAAATTTTTCTACTTGAAGCCTCTACCATTAAAAAATAATAATATATTATTGAAAAAAAACAAAAGCTGGTACTACGTAGGGCACAGAAACAAAAATTTCTAAATCGCTAATCAATAAGTAAACTCTTGGAATCATTTAATGAACATCTGAACATTAAACACATATTTATGAGTATTCAAAAAATAAAGACATCAATTGTGGCAAAATTTTCAAAAACCAAAGATAAACAAATCAGAATAAAGGTAGGTGGGTTTTATAATGGTTCTTATTTAACACTGTAAGAATAACTTCCAAAACATTTATTGGCAGACAAAACTTATTGAAAATACTAAAGTACAGAGAAAATGCAAACTACCTCAGAAGGAAAACTATGCACCCTTCTTGGGCATGCATGTATGTTCATGTACACAGATAAACACAGATAATGCACATACATTTCATTGATTTAAATACAGTAATCACTTGTACAGAATATTTATCAAAGACTTTTTCAGTAAAAATGTAAACCAGTCAACTGTTCCTATCTCAACCAACATACATGGCATATCTTTTGTTCACTGCATTCATTTTAAGGATGAAAGTGTCAGCCAAATCTAAGGTTAATTTATATGTAATAATCAATTCACATATAATTCCCAGAAAATATTATCAATGATTCTTCTCAACTTTGTTCTTAAGCTATCTTAGTGCATTAGACTAATTTTACTTACTTATAATAATTTTATTATTTTATATGACAGCATAATATAGTCCTCCTTTGCTCTATCACAGTTTACTTATTTCTACTTTGGGGATTTTCACCTGTCTTGGAATATAACTTCCGTGATGTGTGAGCAATCACTATTTACAGATTCTTTTAAAAACCCACAGTACAGTGAAGTCCCAGTGAAGCCAACCCTCTACTGTTCCTAACCTACAGTGTTGTGGATGGTGCAGAGGGCTGTGAGGATCAACTACATAGGCCAAGGTCTCTTCATAAGGGTCAGCCCTGCCTGGACCTGTTGACTACTATGGAAATGCTAAGTCAGGTAGAGCAGAAATCACTTATGAAATACCAAGACTACTGACATTGGTATAATAGAGATCCCAGAGCTGATAATAGAAATGTAGCATGAACTGGGTGAAAAACAAGTGATATATTCATACTAAATGTTGTCAAATTTATATTTATCTGATGATTTGTTTATCTTAGTAATGAGTATAGAAAGAAAAGTAGACAAACTCTGAAAGGATGATTAAGGTTTGTTTCAAAAGAAGAACCAACAAGAAAATTAGATGACATCTGATACTTAATATCTGTTGGGTATACTTAATGCAAGAATACACATGTAGGCATATATTCACTACATAACACTGAAAATTTATGCACCATTATCATAATTTGTATATGGTTGATAGAATTTGGTTGAAAATTACCTTTTGTTTTTAACTACGTTTTCTAATTTTCTGTAACTATTACTAATTTCTCTCACATAAACACATTACAAAAAAAATTGCCATTCAGCAAATCCTGTGTCCCCTAGTAGCACAAAGACCTTCAAAAATAAGTCCAAGTATTTCCATTTCTCTAAATCCTACTTTTCACAATGGAGAAAAATGAATAAATAATTTCAATAATGCTTAACATGTCCCATGAAATATGTGAACTTGGAGAAACAATGAAATCAATCATTTTAATATGATGTTGATATATTTTCTTCTTATTATAAATCATAATGCAGCATTTAGCATTGTTCCGAATCACACTGCTAAATCAAATGAGCTTCATCTACCTTCAAACACTTTCTCATGGGACCTCACTTTCCACTCATCTGCGATAAATATCCAAAAGAGCATAAAAAATAAAGTCAAATAACAAAACAAATTAAAGCTCTCATAAATAATGGAGATAAAGATATAGAAAAAATAAGTGATGTGAGGAGAGGAAGCTTAGAGGAGAGACAGAGGGAAGGAGAGAGAATTTAAACTGAAGTACGAAAAAGAAAGGATAAAACAAGACATCTCCATGCAGGTCAACCCCAACCCAAAGGAGAACACAGAAGTTTTGCCAGACATTGAGTTTCACAATTGCTTCCAATGAGCCATCTGTTCTTTCCCTGCAACTTAAGAACAGGATCTTAAATTCAGAAAAGAAATGATGCATGAAAACACTTTGGTTTAGGAGTGGAATCCACTAGGGAAAACTCTAAAACACTGACCAAGTTATTGTATTACTTTTTAGTATAAAATGTTAAAAAGTAGGACCCTATTTTTACTACCAACAAATAAAACAATGGCCTTT